AAAAAAAAAGGAAGGGAAAAAATGGAAATATACAATAAAATAGTAAAAGCAATGGAAGCATAACACTTAACTAGTTATGCTGGAAGTCATTATAGCTGATCCCGGATCAGCTGACAGATAGGTCCTTGAGTAATTAAGACTGACATGTAAACAGGTGGGCCATGGCAGAAGGTCAGAGAAGACATGCCCAGATGGCAGCTCAAAGGGAGAACACAGGTGTTAACTATCACATTATAGGTGCCAAAAGACACTGGCTTAAGTGACAAGGGCAATCCTTGGTTAAAAATACTTAGATGTGTACCACAACAATGACAATTGTGAGAAATAAATGGGGATGAATCTCTTAACTGGTCGCATTTACCATATACTTAAAGCCCATTAAAGGAAGTGCAATGTAAAACTTTATCAAGAAAATATGAAACCCTTCCCTTTCCCCCGCCCCCCTAACCCTTCTTTGACCAGTTCGTCGAACAGCGCCTACCCGTTGAAGTAGAGACTGCCATCCTTCTAAATTGATTTGACCCCGAAGGGCCAGGGCAGCCGGCTCTCAAACAGTACAGCATCCCCAAGATAACGGGTTCCCGCAGATGCCACCCAAGAGAATTTGATCGATTTCTGTTTCTTATAATGCCGCTATCGGACACCCGCTTCCTGATTTCCCCCCGAGCTTATCTTGTGTTTACCTCTTGACGCGTTGGGCTTGCCGACACAGATTATACATGGTGGCCGAGATAACCTTAGGTCGGGAGCAGAGATAACGCCAGCTGTGAGACTAAATTGGTGACCTTTGCCTTCTTTCGGAGCTCGTCACAACAATCGCTACATCCACCGCATCCACCATTCACTTCGGACTGCGGGCACACGTCACGTACACAGGAAAAAGGGGAGGGGGAGGGCGGAAGGAGTGGGGGAAAGAAGGGTGAAGGCCGTTGGGACCCGCTAAATTTGAATTGGAAATGTACTGAATTTTATAAGAGAAGAAAAATCATGAAAATAACAATTATTATTTAATACGTCCTTGGCGGATGTAAAACTTTCAAAATTCAACAAGTGCAATAAAGGCACATTTCATTGACACACAGGTCAAAACTGTAATTTTACAAGTACTGATAGCAAACAATTTTACTGCAGATTGTTCCCATACTGTTCATGGAGCTGCCATGAATGAAGCAGTCAACTGCAGAATCACAAACTACAGTAGTTACAAACAATCACCCAATTCATAACAATAGAAAACAGTCCACACAAATTAAAGTCATTCTCATATCCCACAGCAAGCAAAATACCTCGACGGTTGAAAATATATGTCAACAAAGATAATAAAATAACTGAAAAATTATCACAGGACTAGAAACAGGAATGAAGAAAAATGCGAGTAACGCTAAACCGAAACTGCATGAATTCATGGTCAGGAATGCATATTTCCAGTGATTGGTGTCTGAATCGGGAAATAAAACTTATTGATACAAAGATATGAAAATACGTGATGTATATCAATGAGATGAAGAGAGTTGATTGGTTAATTACAAAAGGAGTGTCAATCACAGGTCCACAACCTGCAAGTACATAGCTAATCTGATGATTGAGGTTCCATTACTACAAAGACAGTCTTACATAAATAAGGAGGACTCCAAGGTGGAGCACTCACTTCTCATGAGATACATAAAATTTAGAGAAATACATGTTTGTGGTGAGGTAAAATAGTTTACATATCTGAGCTGATTAAGACTTGGTTCATTGAAGTAATTAATAGTTATCTAGAATATTTTTTTGCATAGTGACAAATCTTATACAAAAGATAATATCTTGTACGCTATAAATTGAAATCTCATGGTAGGAAGTTGTGCAGACACACATGAATTACGGTATTTCTAATTACACATTATAGTCAGGGAGACGCAATTCATGTTTTCTACAGATTGTTAAATACACTAAAGCTCCGGTTACAAACAACCGCAACCCATTTTGCCATCTATCTCTTAAGTCATAAACAGACACACCAGACAACAGGAGAACTGCAACACTTATCCACATGTATTTTAGATATCTTTTACCTCCATGCCAAAATATTGCCACCTAGAAAAGAAACAAAGAGGAGGGCGTAAATAAAATTATAGTTAACACAATAGGTACATACAGAAACAACATTATTTTGTACTAACCTGCAATATTCTAATGACTGCCTCAACCGCAAATATAATAGAATGAAATGCAACACCTGGCCCATCAAAATCCTAAAAACCCCAACACAACCAAATTTAAAAAAATTGAAATTTAAAACAATTCACACAAGAACAGAAATACCCAGATGTTTCTGGTAGACGGTAACTATATTACATATATGAATACTTACATCAAAACTATAGTTGCTGGCAGCCTCTGCTCTTAAAATATCAATAAGAGAAAGTAATACAGCTATTAAAGTGATTCCGTATCCAAACCAAGAAACAGGCTCAAGCCTCAAAGGAGGTCCAACTGTATTGAACAAAATCAAAGAGTTAAAATACGTGCTTCAACCGTAACAATTTTTAAATAATAATTTGACAAGTCAAATATTGTCTTAAAAGTTAACATTACCTGAAGCCTTTGAAACATTGATTGTGTGAAAGCCGTTTAAAGGTTGAACTTCTGCAAGTGTAATTATGTGTGGAGGACGAAGGCGTATTTCTTCACTCAGTTCAGCCAAATTAATTCTTGTTGACAAACTTTGAGGTTTGTTATATCTTTGACGAGCTGAGTGTATAATGTTATCTGGTTTTAAAGAAAACACATGTATATATGGCAGTGAAAAAATAAAAGTGAAAAAATATGATAAAATGTCCTTAACAGGGAACAATTTCTTACTAAATTCAATGAAGGAGTACGGTCTTCTTGCTTGATTAACAGTCAAAGCTAGATATTTTCCCAGAAATTCTTTCATTAATTCGTTTAAAAAACTGAAACCTAGTACAGTTGGGTAAGATAAATCACTCAGGGCTAAATATGACACGCCAAGCGCAGTCAGCAAACTGAAAATAAAGTATTGCATTAACAAAAATAATTGAAAAAATATCTGTAATGCAAGGGAAGATAACCTCTGTGATACTTACTATATAGTATGATTTCCTGTGCTAAGCATACATCTGTCAGGAAATTGAAATGTCTTTTTTGCCAAAATTTTCAGGTATTTTTTGCTTTCTTTGACATCTCGTAAACCTTCATCGTTAAAGTCGGTAGATGCTGACAGAGCCAGTCCATCTTTCGACCGGACGATCATAGTGTATAGGATCATTATGCAGCTAGATGGCCTTTAGTGCAAGGGACGTGATTAACGTAGCCTACTAATGTCTGCAAACCACAAAACACTAGAAAACCATGAAGTGACGAAGGGTGTAAGTGCCTTTTTTCTGAGTACGTGTAATTGTTGATGTGCCAAATGCGTCTGCTGTTTACAAATTTTTTTCCACCATTCTTCACCTTCACCCCCTAAATTCTCCCGGCTGCTCCCGGCGTCCGAAAGTGGTCATACGGGAGAAATAGAAATAAGACGTCAGTGTATGAGAAGTTCTGCGTTACGAAATTTTACGTTTCCGTTTCATCGACCGCGCATTTCAAACGGGGGCGGAGGGGCGGAGACTGCAAGGAATAAGTTTCTAGCCTTATCCAGCAGGGGAACCGAGGTACCTACCCCGGTGGGTAACGTACCCCGGTGGGTAACGTACCCCGGGTTACGTACCCCGGTACCCCTGATGCCTAAAGCAACCCACTATCGTATATTTCAAGTTAAAATGTTTCCTCGAATGCGCGCTGGCTGTCGTGATGACCATACTGTATTACGTCCAAATGTTTCGAATGCATTTTCCGACCCTGTAGGTGCAGCTAGGCTGGCCTTGTTGCTGCGCTCAGGCCTGGGCCACCAGCACTAGCACCAGCACCAACTTCACATCGCTTCTTAGCAGGCGTGCCACCCCGCGCGTTGGAGGCACCTTAAGTGGCTCTAGAACAGTGACCAAAAATCGGTGAATAGAACAATCCATACACAACGGCCATAAGTAGCCCCATACAGATTGTCCAGAAAGTGCGTCCGCTTTCCTCAGATTCATTCGGGAAATAACGGGAGCTCGGTGCCTGCGAGACGCAGGGTAGGCCACCCCGCAGTACGCACGTGTCCTGCAGGCGAGAAGTTACCTACCTATCGGGCGCCGTGGGAGCATGCATGCATTTGCTGAACTTTGCAATTTTGTAGGGGAGAAAGACGGACGAAATTTATGTGTGGTCTTAGAGAAGGTCGCTAACGATAGCGCCTGCAACACACGGGGTAGGCAAGCCCGCCAAGCAGCTGTGTTGGACCGGTGGCCCGGCCTGAGTGCCCACGGCGGGCCTAGTAGTGCAACAAGGGCTGCGCCTACAAGGGAACGTTCATTTTAGGGGCATTTAACGAAAACAGTTATCACTGGATAATTATGATAAAATGATCGAATAGAACAAGTGAATTCTTTAGAACAGAGATTTATTTTAATTTAGCAACAGGTCAACAACGCAGGAAATGTCATAGTCTGGATTCTACAGGTTCGATTGCAGGGTTGTCAGCTGCCCACTTCTCGCAATTCGATACTTTCTTCTGTCCGCCCTTGGAACGTAGAACGCGCTCCCCATTGAAATGTTCCTGAAAGTTGAAAACAAAATAACGTTTGACTTTTGTTCTCATAACTGAGAAAGAAAGTCGAGGGGCAGCACTTGCGTCCTACCAGGATCTCGTGCAGGTGGTGTCCTTCGGTCTCTGGTAGGAAGAAGTACATGACAACAGTACCGCTGAGCGCCACAGCACCGTAAAGCCAGAACGTTCCCGGCAGAGTGAGGTGCTCCTGCAGGAAGAAGAAGGACTTGTTGGCGGAGAAGCCGATCACGTAGCCCATGCAGCCGCTCGCGCCGCTCGCGAAGCCCTTGATGTCGGGCGTGTACACCTCCCCGATGAGCATCCAGGGCAGGATGCGGATGCCCGCGTGCGAGATGAAGGCCGAGACGACCAGCGCCGCCATGGGCAGCCACGAGTACGGCCCGCTGCCCTCCGCGTCGGGGCCCGCCTCCCCCATGACGTGCACGTAGCTGGCGGCCACCACGAAGCACACGCCCGCGCCCAGCGTCGACATGAGGGCCAGGGGGCGCTTGCCCGTGTAGTGGACCAGCGCCACGCAGGCGATGGTGCCCGTCAGCTCCACGAGTCCTGGCAAACGAACAGGACCATCATCAGGTTTGGGGGATAGGGGGTGGAAATAAGTGAATCTCCCAAGCCCAGCAGCCTCACACACACCACACCCGAGCGGGCGGGCCGGCCCCAGGTGGAAAAACTCGAGATGCCACAGCAAGGTCATATCATGGACTCGACTTCTAGCCGCCGTGGCCTCTGGGTGACCCCAAGTTTTTTGATCCAGCCGCGGATCCAGCCATGATGACAAATTACCTATCAGAACCGTCGCATGGTACTTGTTGATGGGAGTGCCGACCGTGGTGAAGATGCTAACGGCAAAGGTCTGCAGCGGCGTCATCCCCGACCAATGGCCGACGAAGAACGCGTACACCACCAAGCAGAAGGGCACTAGGAAGGTGCGCTGCCGTAGCTGCGTCAAAGAGGGCAGCGGCGACGGCCTCTTCTCTGCAGAACAAAAGAAATATGCATTTGGAAATTGTTGTCATTGTGTTTGACGCGTTTGAAATATGCGCGCGCTTACTCACCGGACGCGCCGCCGCCCTTAAGGGTGCGCTCCAGCATCGCCATCTCGTGGGCCACGTCCTCGGGCTGCGCCCAGCCCCGCAGCCAGCACAGCGCGCGGCGGGCGTCCTCCACGCGGCCCTGCCCCACCAGCCAGTGGGGGCTCTCGGGCACGAAGCAGAGCGAGATGACGGCCAGCACGGGGGCCGCGATGTTGAGCAGCGCCACGGTGCGCCAGTGCAGCACCGACCCCAGGCTGCACGAGAGGGTCAAGTAGTGGTGTCAGTGCTAAAGGTTTCGTCATTTTGGTGGCCTGATTCGACGTCATTTTGATATCAAATGACATCACTCGATGTCAAATTGACGTCAGTACAGTACACGCCAAAACGACCAAATTTTGCCACTGACATCGCTTGGTGTCATTCCCACAAAACCGCGTTCCCTTTGTGCAGGCGCGGCCAGCGGCCAGGCCAGGCCAAGGCAGGAGCACACATACCTGAAGTCGATAAACAGCCCCAGGATGAGGACGGCCGTGGTGGAGGCGGACATGGCGCCACGGAGGTGCGGCTCGGCGATCTCGGCGATGTATGTGAGGACGGGGGCCTCGAGCAGGCCACCGCCGAAGCCGCAGACCGCCTGCGCCAGGTAGAGCACGGACACGCTCTCCGCCAGGTAGAACACGAGGTAGCCCACCACGAAGCAGAAGTTGACGGCGATCATGGCGGGCTTCCGGCCCCACGGGGTGGCGAACGGCCCCGACACGATGCCCCCGACGGCCACCATGATCCAGTTGATGCTGCCTGGAAGCATGACGCCTTAGAGCGCGGCTACATACATGTACGGAAAGTGGCGCGCGCGTTAGGCTACTCACCGAACCACGATATTTGGGGCTTGGACAAGGTGACCGACTCCGACTCGACCGAGCCGTCGGCAGTGCCGTTGGCCGCGCTGTGAGCCTCCAGCGCCGGGATGGCGATGGTCACGAAGCCCAGCGACATGCCGTAGCTGAGGAGGATCATGTTCTTGGCCGAGCACGCGAGCAGCTGCGGGGCAAAGGGGCGGGTAGTTGCGACCATCCAGCACCGCGACCGAGGTCAAGGGGCCGGGGCCCTCGCTGACGTCGAAGGGAAGGCTCTCATTCACTCACCTGCGGCAGCGCTCGGCGCCACGTCTTCGGCGCTTCATCCGAATGATCCTCGAGCCGGGTCTTCTCGGGGCTGAACCGGGCCGCGTCGAGGCTGTGCACACGAGAAGAGTAAATGGTGAGAGGTGCAAGTGGGTTGCCTAATTTTGGGGAGTAAACCGCCACCCCCTGGCTTTGGTGGGAGTTTGCGGCGGACGGAATCTATTCGCGGGGCCGACGATCTACGGTGGCTCTGCTCTGCACGCGCCGGGTAAAAGCGGATTCCTGGAAAACATGTCTGGAACCGCCCCAGCCTTGGCCCTGGCCGCAGCTCTCTTCTCCTCTATCGGCCGGTGCACCCAGAGAAATGTTTGCTAGGATCGAGTATCTGATGCTTGGATCTCGCATAGGCTAGGCTTGTTTTACGGCAAGCATATTACAGCCAATCTAAGCATTTATACATCGTCCTCTCATAATGGAACCTTGATCGAAGGTGATGCTCATAGCTCATATCTCGCATTCGAAATAGTCACACAGTAAAATGGTCACTCAGCTTTCTCCCTTTTCCCAGTGTCCAGAAACTCAGTCCATCTCCCCCATCGGTTACTAGAGCCAGTACGCATTGGTGCGGTGGCCGATCTACGCATCAATTTATGCTAGAGGAGCAGGCAAACTTTTTACTGGGTGTGTTCTTTCGTACTTATTCGCGGTGCGCAGTGGGTCCTGCTGCCCCGTGACCCCCGCTGGTGGACCGAGATGGCGAGCCTCGTCCTTCTCATTATAATCCGCTCCCGAAGCGTGCACCAATTACAACGCGTCGGCCTACAGAGGTGATTTGGGAGGTCATCAGTGTCACCATGGTCGCCATCAGGTGTGAACCTTCGTTTCGCGACCCCCCCCCCCTTCCCCCGCCCCGGCGCTCTTACTGATACAGCAGAATGGGTCGCCAACTTTACTGGGCACCTTCTGTCACTCTGCACAAGTCGTATCTCATTCCTGGGGTGACAGATGGGTGGCAAGCCCGTCTGGACGAGCCATGGCTCTTCACCCCACCCCACCCCCTTCCCCCTTTGCCAGCGCTGGCAGCGCTGAAGAGGGCGTCAAAAAGCAGATAGGATAGTCTCTCCAGGCAGCCAAACTGATAGGATGGCCTTTTCGCGGTAGCGAAAGAGATAGGACGGTTTTGCACGGGGCCGTCGATACGGAATCCAGCTGTCGGAGTAAGTAGTTCACGAGTCAGGTAAGAGGCCGCCGAGGCCATTTTCTGGCCCGGAGCCGACAAGCTTGCACGTTGCCGTCAGATTCCTGGAGGCTATCGCCGACCTCGCCCCGACCGTGGCGACTCTCTGCTGGTCGTGGCGTGTTCTGCCCCGCTGGTTCGCGTGAGACGGACAGGCGTTACGCGGTGCTGACGCGACGAGGGGCTCTCTGCGCGACACACAGAGCGCGGTGTCCTCCTCGCCGCTCTTCCGCGCAAAAATCCCACGTGGAGGCGGCGGTAGCGGCGGCGTGCTGCTGGGCGGTGCCGGGGCCGGGGGGCCCCAGCCTGGCCCGGCCCGGTCAGCCGGCGGTGGTGAGCCCTAACCACCGCGCCTACTACAGCAAGTAAGTGGGCTGTGGCGCAAAAAAAGAAGAAAAAACGCAAATAATGATGTAGGCTGAGGGGAAGTCCCCCTCCTCAAGAAATCCTGTGGTCACACAGCAATTTACGGGTGTCGCGGCGGTGCTCGCCTCTCGAGCTTGTTGTACGGCCGAGCTACTCGCCGCCAGGCGTGGGCGCCCCCTCCCCCCTCCCCCGGCTGTCGTCTGGATACCTCCGATAAGGGGACCCTTTTGGCGAGGGGGGGGGGGGCTCATACTCGATGCTAGTATCGGCAGCACTCCCCGCTCCGAAGTGACCTCGGCGGTCTCTGTGGCGCAGAGGATAGCGCGTTGGACTTCTAATCCAAAGGTCGCGGGTTCGATCCCCGCCAGGGATGATATTTTTAGACAGTCCCTACTCCCTAAGACTGTCTGTGTCTCTGCCAGAAGGCAAAGTTTTCCCCCACCGAACGCTGTGCGGCGATTCGCGACCGGCAGAGCTTCGTGACTTCTAATCGCCTTTCAATGTTATGAACGCCACGATGACCCCCAACCGATTGTGTCCGTCAACAAACGCAGCATGTGGGGCCATACAGAAAGTACGCCCTCGACGTCCGTCTGTCGCCTCAAAGGAATTGCAAATTTCAGCCTATGATCAACTCCCATGGCGTCTGATGGGTAGGCCACATCTCGCCTGCACGGCATGCGTGTACTGCGGGGTGGCCTAACCCGAGTTCCACAGGCGCCGTGCTACCGGAATGTGAAGAATGAATCGGAGGAGAGCGGGCGTTCTCTCTGGTCTCCATCCTTATTGCGCAGCGTATCGCGAAGAAATGTGCCGTGTCCGAAAATATAGCAACATTCGGGACGCTGTCTGCAATTTGAAGTTGCGTTATTAGAGCGTATGGTCGACGTACGTCCCGTGCCGCGCGCCCACTTTGGCACGGGGTCCCCGCTCTTGTGAGAGTGGGTGGGGGAGGGAGAGCCGTTCTGCAGCGAGGCAATGATACGCAGATTGCTACTAATCCCTCAATAAAACACATCGTTTGTCTCGACCAATCTCCCCAGCGAGCGGAGGAGGACAGCCGCGGCGCGAGCCCCCGTCCATCAGCCGTGGAATCACGGCACGCGACTCCTACCCCCCCC